TGATTAGCAGACCTCGCTACATTAGTTTTCAGGTTCATCCTTTACGTTGTTGTTGTTAAATTACTGTACAGTGATTAGACACCTATTGAATAACTGCATTGTTTAATTATCTTGAAAAGGTTCCTTTACAATAAAAGCTGTAGTTTTCATTAGTTTGGCCCGGTAACAAAATAATCAGCTGCCTTCAACTCACTAGAGTTATACAAGCCCAAGTGAAATCACTCTATTAGTCTACATGCCAGGCTGATGGTTACCAAGGAGCCTGAAATCTTTCACACGTGCAGGTCATGATAAAAAGAAAAGCATCTCCCTTTTACTTGACTCGTCTTGGGAAACTGCTGCTAATAACTTTTTTTTTTTTGTATCATCACAAACTTCAAAGTTGGGTTCCAACGAAGAAACTTCAGAATAAAAGAGTCCAGGAACCAACAGGACCATTTCCTGCTGAGAGTTGGACTTCAGATATTGATGCTGCCGGTGCAGAGCTTGCTCAGCACCAGCAGCATTTTTAGTTGTAATCATGTGTTGATAATGCCAAAAAAAACAAAAAAAAACAATAGACACTTCTTTTCAAGAATAATATCAATGACAAGTTGAGAATCTTGAGAGAAAAGAAATGATGCTGGGTTAATTATCATTTGGAGTGTTTAGGATGAAAAGTTGCTTCTTTGAGAAACAAAGATGTAGAGTCGCACTTCATCTGACGGGAGGGTTTACTCTCAGTCCTGCTGAAGGACATGAATAAAAAGTGGGATCAAAACATCTGAGAGCAACTTAATCCAACAATCCTGGCATAATTTTGTGATGATCTGTGTCTTTTCCAGTGTGATGGAGTACCACCTCACAAAGCAAACGCCACAAAGCGTATCTTGTCTCAGCTTTTTTAGCTGACGGCACCTTTAAAACTTGCAACAAAAACCCCTGAACGGAGCATTTTGTCAGATTACTCTCGCTCCTGCCTGTAGCTGGGGTTCACATAAGCGGTTATTACACCGTAATGATCAACATTTGTTCTTCTGCGAGACACCTAAGAAGCCAAAACATATATTCAGAGAACAAGAAACACCACCTCAGCTTTTCACATAAGCTCATGCTCTTCATAATGAGGCAATATATCCCACAGCAGCACTGCCTGTTACACTCGGCACACATCCACAGGCCAATTATATTATGTGCAGGCGCACAGCTGGGCTCAAAGTCAACTCATATTTCTAACAACAATTCCCTCCTTCTCCACAGCCTGTTGCTTTCTATTGTGGGAAAACTGTTTCCTCCTGATTAAGGGATAAGGTCATCGGGATTCGGGGTCTTTGAACTCGGTTGAGATACTCCCGTCGTAAATTTCCTCATGTCAGCCGAGCAGTTAAGGAAATGGCCTGCAGATTATGCAGCATGGAAATGATGGTGGATTAGCCGTGCGCTTCAGGCAGATGTTAAGTGCAGTAATTCACACGTGCAATTATGTTCAGCTAGAAGAAGCAGCCATATGTACAGTAAGCTGGCATCACTAAGGATGTGTCTAGTCAAGTTTACTGGGATAACGCATTTCAGCAACAGAGTGTTTTACATCAGGAGAATACAGTCATCAATTATGAAACAAGGAGTAAATATTAATTTTTTCTGTTAAATGTCGTCACCAAATTCACACATAAAATATGTCGATCAATGTTTCACTTGCTGCTAACCTCAAATGGTGGAGTTTTAGTCTTGACTTAAAGAAACTCAGTGTTTCAGCTGTTGTGCAGTTTTCTGGAAGTTTGTTCTGGGTTGTGGTGCTTAGAAGCTGAATGCTGCTTCTCTATATTTGGTTTTGGGAATGCAGAACAAACCAGAACCAAAATACCTCAAAGGTCTGGAAGGCTAACACAACAACAGCGGATCATCAATGTATTAGTGATTTATAAAGGAACAAAAGTATTTTAAAATTAGTCTCTGAGCTACAGGGAGCCAGTTTAAGGTCTTTATAGTTGGGCGATGTGCTCTATCTTCCTGGTTTTAGTCAGAATGCGAGCAGCAGGGTTCTGGATCAACTGCATTTGTCTGATATTTCAGACAGACCTGTAAAGACACTGTTGCAATAATCAGTGTGACTAACGAAACACGTGGATGAGTTTCTCCAGATCTTACATTAAACCTTTATTCCTGGAAATGTTCTTCAGCTGATAGAAGGCTGACTTTGTAACTGTCTTTATGTCTCTGAATGTTCAGATCAGAGTCCATCACTAAACCCAGATTTCTGCTAGTTTTTAGCTGTAATAACAGAAGCTGTGCTTTGACTCTAGATTGTTCCTTTTTAGGTCCAAAAATAACGACTTCAGTTTAGTTTCTATTCAGCTGGAGAAACTTATGGCCAACACCCACACATTGATTCGTTCTCTATATGTATTCTTGCCTTTGCAGGTCAGAGAGGCCCCTTCACTATCCACTTTTGAAGCTCGTCTTAAAACCCATCTATTTTACTTGGCTTTCAACTCTAGCGGGATCTAGTTTTAAATTGTATGTTTTTGTTTTTAAACTGTAAGTTCTTATTTTATGTTTTTTTATTGTTATGTTGTGTTTTGATGTACAGCACTTTGTATCAGCTGTGGTTGTTTTAAAGTGCTTTATAAATAAAGTTGGTATGGTATGGTATGGTATTCTCTCCATATTCACACCTCCTATTTTACATTTCAGTGGATCGGACTTTCTGTTTGTATGATCACCGTGGATTATCATCGAGTGGAAGATGATCCGGATCTCATTCGGAGCCAGATTAAGAGACACACAAGGCTGAGCTCCACTGGAGAATCAGATGAACAGCCTTCAGTGTGGCATTTGGCACATCCTCGGGATTATTTACACTCCGAATGAAATGTCACCTCATCCTGTGACCACTCAGCGTAGAGGAGCCACCATGAAACTACGCTTGTTCACTGACCCATTAACTGACTACAGAAGGCGTTTATTGTCATTTAATGGTTTTGTGCGAAACAGCCGTGTGCGTGTAAGGAGCCTTGCGTTGAGGACAAAAAAAAGAAGAAGAAAACATCTCACAAGCAAGTTGGATTGACTGCACGCGTGTTGCTGCATTTGTTTTGGTTTGTTGTGCAGCCAATACAAGGCTGACGGTGAGGATGGCAAAATGGACGACCTCCATTTCCGCAGGAGGAGGTCGGCGCACACTGAGACACACCCATCGTTCAAGTGCTTACCTGGGCACATTTTCATACATTGGCACAGCTCGCTTCACACAAGTCAGCACTTTCTTTCCCTGTCTTGTTCCTTTTCCTGGACGCTGATAATTACCGGTCCTAATTACGTCTCTTTGTGAAGCCGAAGAGTTTCAGCCTGCTCACACCAACCCCTTGGTGGATGTGAGACAATCAGATTCACACTTTCAGCTGCTCAGGCTGAAAGACAAAGGTAAAGATTTTTCTTAATACAATAAATAAAACACTAGCATTCATTTGATCAAAAACAGAGTTGCTAAGTGGTCTTGATGGGTGTAAATAGTAATAAATTTTCCATGTCTGGATAGGTCTAGGGAAAAAGGAAATGGAGTACAGACTCTGAGTGTCTGACGCCACTTTTGTTGTAGGAACATTATTTCTACACTGGTTATATGAGCAAGTCACACCAGACAGTCTGGTAGACTCGATTCAATTGGAGACCAAAATTGCAACATTTGTTACGTTTGTTTAGCTGGTGCGGTTCACTTTCACACTGTATTGTGTCAAATGATCCAAACTAATTGACAAACCTGTTCCCCGCCTCACCTGTGGTGGCACTGCACCAAGAACAACTGAAGGAAACGATAGGAAAACCTCTGAAGAAGACAAGAGAGCGACTTCCTTCTGTACAAAATGTAAATAAAAATGTAGCAGCATCAGATTTGACCTCCTCTTCTCCTGCTAGAGTTAGACTAGCATATTTGTTTTGGTTGTATTTTCCCAGAATGCCCTGCACTATAGTCTGCTTCCTGCTTTTGCAGCGGCCTCCGGTCCGTTTGAATCCCCAAGTGCATCCAAACCGCATCAGAGTTCACTTCAACTGAACCAAGACTTAGGCGGAGCAGAGTTCGCCTAAGTCGACTGCGCATTCACACCTCCTCAAATGAACCGGACTTTCTATTGTTGTGTTCCTTCTGAACTCAGAAGTCAGATTTCTTGACTGGCAAGTCAGAAAAATTAACATGAACTCCTGAAATAGAATCAGAGAAATATCTCACCTCAAAATCAAATCTGTGGACGTTCAAATTATAGTTTATTTGAACTTCCAGAGTTTTGTTTCAAATTTAATTGCACACAGTACCAATCAGCCAGTATCAGTGAACATGTTACTACATGTTGTAACAAAAAACATGTTACTACATGTTGTCTACATGTAGTAACACGTTACTACATGTTTGAATACATTAAAAAATTATATTCATAATTGTAGTTGATCTGGTCAGTAAAACATTTATTAAACCATTGTCTCTACCTGCCTGCTCTTGCAGAACTGTGGACGGGTTGGTGGTCAATAAATGTTAGTCTGAATGAACTTTTCTTAGTTTTTCTAGCTTCTTAACCTCGCATCTTCTTCGGAGTCAACGCTGCCTCTCATTAAGCCATCTGTGACTCAACAGAGGTGCTCGTGAATCCAGAAATTCATTGCACTTACACTCTCAGTAAGTGGGGGACTGGGTGACAGGAAACACAGCTTACAGCTGAGAAATTACAGTTATCCACAAATAATGATTCCCCAAACACATTCATTTACACAAGAGGGCACACATTTACCTGGAATTTACAATTCCCTAAGATATAGTTAAAAATCCATGGGTATTTGTATTTTTTCATTCAAAACCACAATCTGTTTTTACGAGGCAGTTGTCTGTGGGAGCATTAAAAGCCCAATCAGAGGTAAAACCAGAACCTCATTGCTGTGAGGGATATGATAATCAGCTCAGTTAAGCCATAAACATTTCACTCTGTAGACTGAGTGCTAAAACGTCCACCATCTTCTTTCCTTTAGTGATGTTTTTTTTTTTTTTTTTTTTTTTGCAGCTGCCTTTTACTTCAAACTTAAGAAAATCATTTCTTAAATTGACCTTTTTTTCTGGAGCTTTGTCTCTTCAGGAAAGACACATCGCTCTTCTTTTTAAAGGTTAGTCAGCGATAATGGCTCTCGGTTTTCCCTGAAAATGTCAGCGCTTCCTAACGAAAGGAGCAGAAATTCAAATGAAAGCCATTAAACCAGGCAGCTCTTTGTTAGCACAATCCGTTCGCTCAGGCACAATCCCCCTCATACATCCGAGTCCATTTCACAGCCAGGTGTGGACGATTCCAGCTCCGGGTTGGTTCACAAACAAGGGGAGTTTCCCCCCCCCCCCACCTCAACACTCCAGAGTGCATCCGAACACCATACCTGAAAGAGAAAAGGCATTTATGGAGCGTTATTAAGACTGAGTCAGGTGTAATTTGTCAAGCCTGGCATTTCGAATGAGTTTCACAGAGTAAGATAACGCCGCTTCCTGAGCCGTCTGTCCGTCTTACAGTAGGCTCCGTCTCTGTTAGGCTCCATCTTGTGAAGGCAGATGCTTCCCTATCATCCCAGCGGGGGGGCGCCTGCTCGGAGACGCCACGCTAACAAACCGAACGGCGTAAACACGAACTTCAAAATGAATCCTTAATGCCACGTGAATCCTGCCACGGTGCCCGGCTTTGAGTTACAGCCACTGAGTTTGTGTTTGAAGAGGCCAACCGGGGAGGCCCTTCCCTTCCACACTGTGTTTCGGCGGATAAATATTTAGAGGTTTTGTAAGAAGCCTGTTGACGCGTTAAAGTTTTAAACGCGCCGTGGTAGTTAGTAGTAGCAAGAACGACGAAGGAAGTATGCGCTTTGCAGCAGGGGCGTCCAAACGTTTTGTCACGTGGGCCAAAAAACGTCCAGTCAAAAGTATTGACAGGCCAAGAAAACAAAAAACAAAACAAAAAACCCACTTGAATTAAAAAATACAAAGTCCCTTTTTGTAGGAAAGGGATGTTATTTAAAGTGGATTCAAAAATTTAAAAGGATTTTTCACGCTAAAATAAAGGCAACTAGTTTTCAGGTTCTTTTGACTATGTTTACTTAATTTATTTTTTTATGTGCTTTCTAGCCACAATCAAGCAACTATGTTAACCTCTGTTGTTAAAAAAATCCTAAATATCAAATATGACTTAAAAGAAATTTTACTTTGTAATTTAACACCTTGAAATTGGGCCTCTGTCTCTTTAAAAACTCCTGCTCTTTCTCAAACTCCACCTTCAGGATGTTGTCACAACATCTCCTTTCGATTAACCCTTTAAGAACGTTTTCACCAGCGTTGCACTGAGAAATAGCTTGTGTAATGAACTCGGGTGATTCACAGTACTTCCAGATGGGAGCTAATTGCTGCTGGCTAGTCTGCAGGAGCTGAAAATAAAAAGACTAATACTTTGTAGTATAAAACATTTTCCACTGAAAGACAATTATGTCGGTTCTAATTTTACCTCATTATAAAGAGTCTCCATCTGCATCAGACACAAGTACCGAATGGGCCGCATGTGTCATTGTTGCATTGAGGTTTGAGGTTACACTTTGGACAGCCCTAGCTTTACAGAGTTATAGGAACACGTTAACACCATCATGAACTCTTTCCAGATGGAGCTGAGCTCTCTAATCCTCCCCTCTCTGAATGAATGGCATTCTTTCAACTATGATGAGCAACATTTAGATGGGGTGAAGTCACTTAAGGGGCTGTCTGGTCAACATATGCACCCTTTCTGAAATGAACATGCAGCTTCCCTCCAGTGTCCCCTCCAGGCTGCAGCTCTTGAGGTTAAGGGGCTTTCTCACTGCCAATTGGTCTGCTGTTTCTCTTTGTTGAACTGCCTCAGCCACTTTAAAAAGACTCCTCTTCTCTCAAACAACGCGGACTGCAGCAGCCTCAAACAGGAAGCAACACCCAATCTCAAAAAGCCCTGTTCAGAAAACACACTCAATTTACCCAACAAATAGGGCAGATGCAACTTTAAGTGTTTCATTTTGGTACCAGGTGGCCTGATGTTATTTGCCTCTTCTCTGGGCTCATCTCTCATTTGTGAGAGCAAAGCAGGAGCCAGTGGGCATAAAGGGCTTGTGTAATACTTTACCCATCGTGGATGATCAGACACTTTTACCAGAGAGGTTATCGGGGAGCTAAGTGCACTCAAACGCAGCGCAACAGAAACAAACAATGAAGTGGGCAGCGCTGAGCTGTCCAACATGGAAATGAAATACAGCAATCTGTTCAGGGCAAACTGTCTGAAACCATCACAGAGCTGAGAGTATTCAGATTAAATTTTCATCTTCTGCCCCTAAAGTCCTATTTAACGTGAAGGAGGCAAAAACAGACGTTTTGCCTCAACTGATTAGTTTGTTACGTGACAAGGCCAACACAAGGTGGTGCTTACTGTGACATGGGAAGAAAGTACTATGCAGATTTTCTGACTGATTCAAAAAAACCAAATGAAGGTTTTGCAATAAAGGTTTTGCAGTGGCCTAATCAAAGTCAAGATTTGAATCTGACCATCCTATTGTGGCATGATGTAATGCCTCTTATTAAAGTGAGAAAATCCTCCAGTGTGACTGATTAACAATAATTCAGCAAAGAAGAGAGGGCAAAAATTCCTCTATGCACTTGAGGAAATAGTTTGATGGTAGTTGTTACAAAAAGAGACAAAAAAATCAGGTTTTTTACATTCAGAAGGACTTTCTTCTAATTTACTTAGTTTATCTTCATGTGATATAAGATTTTGTTGGAAAATCTGAAACAATTAATTATGAAAAAAACAAACAAAATACAAGCATTTTTAAGACAAAAAGTAGGTTTCCAGTAAATTTAAAAAACCTTTTACATATTTGTTGAAACTGTCACAACGTCGTAACATTATTACGTGAGCTATATAAGCTGCGAAGAGTTCCTCTGCCTTCACCCAGCGCTAACTACAAACGACCAATCAGAGCCAGGAGGAGAGTCTTAGCACTGTCAATCATCTATTTCACCCTTTCTCTTGCTCTCTGCTACTGCCACAGCTTTTCTCTGTCAACAGATCCTGTTGTGAATGCTCAGACTGGTTAGCGTAGCCACCATAACAGCTTGTGACAGTGGATAAGCAGTTCTCTTTTATCAGTGAGTTGTTCCTCCACCATTCCCACTCTTAGCGTCTTGAGTGAGAGCGTTAAGACCCTCCCCCTGGCTCTGATTGGCTGTTTCTGGTCGGGAGCTGTGCATTTGGTTTACATGGAATAGTAGGTAATGGAGGAGGTGGAGGAGATTGATTTTTTCCACAGATTATCTGTCACGACATTGTGACATATCGTGACAGATAAATAACAAACATCTCAGAAACATATTCTTTACAAAAGTTACATACTGCAGCTTTAAGGATGATAATTTGGCCTCCAGACCTCAACCTAATCAAACATCAGAGCAATGTGCTGGACAAACAAATCCCTATGTTTTGGCACCAAAACATGTGGAAATTGAATATTATCGTGCAATTTCAAGCAGATGATAATAAAGTGATGCTCTACTGTGGTGCAGCAAGTGTAATTCTAAACTGTATATTTATTTCTGCTTGTAATCTAGGAACCATATCAAGAATCAAACTTTCTTCCATTTCTTCCATTTGGTCCAAAACTTTCCTTTCACCTGAGAACTTCTTGAAAAAAAAAAAAAAAAAAAAAAAAAAAAAAAAAAAATCCACAACCAACATTTTAATTTATTCTGCCCTGGTAGAGGAATGTTAAATACTTACAGTAACTCTATCTAGGTTAATGCTTGTCCCCCCTTAAACACCGTGAGTGCAGAACAGAACGCCAGCCTACCACAGCTGCATGCCACTGCAGCTCTGCATCACTGTGATTACAGCAGCTCAGCAGGAACCAAACATGCCACAGCAACATGTCCTGCAGAAAAATGATGCTTTAATTCCCCCATAGCACATTACAATGCATTACGCTGACATTCCTGCCTTTTCTCTCACAGTTATTTATTCGTGCCTTGTAATTAGGCCTGCCTGCCTGCACAAAAAAAGAAAAAAAAAAAAAAAGTCGATCTGTTTACTCCCGACGTTTCTCTCTCATTATGTCTGGAGTACATCCCCCAGAGAATCACTCTGCATGTAGCTGATGGAGCACAGAGGGAGCCAGGGCTGTTTTCCCCACTGATGGATCGTTCTTTTGTTCTTTTATGGAAACAGTCCTCGGTGTTTCCCTGTGGGTCTAAAGTCATGTAACTAAGGCTTGGTCACGCAGTCATGAGCTTCAGATGGGTTTTGCTGTATGTCAGCAGCATAGATGGTAGCTAAGTTAGCAGTGAGAAAGTTTGATTTGTATTTGGTTTAATAAAACTGAGATTTATCTTTTTTTAATATATTTTGCTTAGAATCAGGGAGATTCTAAGCAAAACTTTTCACTGAAAAGCTCAGCCGACACGCAGTTGCATCAGATGTTTGCTAGTTGCTGCTGCTAGTCTGAAGGAGCTGAGTGGGGGAGGGGCGCTCTGTGAGGGGGGAGGAGCAGGCATTTTGCTCGGCAGAATGGTTGCAGCGGGAGATTGAAGGATTTCTCAAACACGGATTGAAGAACCAAAGCAACACTCTGGGTATGTTTTTGATGAGGGAATAACTTTATAGCATTATGTAATGCTTAAAAAAAAGAATCTAATTTTATGTAACGTCTCCTTTAACAGATTACAATGATTTGCTGAAAGAAAATATAAAAGGAACAAATTTCCCACATTTTCCCACAACAGATCCAAATGGTGTCAATCTTCCCTTCCAGCAGCTCTATTCAATAACATAAAAAAAGAAAGAAAGAAAGAAAGAAAGAAACGAACGACGGCAACACGTAGATCTCCAACTGTCTGGCACAAACAGCCCTCGCTTGAAATCACACGTCTTGGAGCGGCGTTTCCTCACAGCTTGTCTCAGCAGGCTCCTTGTTAACAGGATAGCGCCTCCGAATCTGCTCCCACAACACCTCCCAGCACGGGTCATTACTGCGGAGGGGACTGCTGGGGCCCAATCAGATCACGACACTAAAGCACTTCCTCCAATCAGTCACAGACACCCGGGGATATATGCAGCAAAGAATGGGCATTAAAAACAGAAAATGTATATCCTCAGCAACGACTGCCTTTAACGACTAAAAAAACAAACCCCCCCCCCCCCCCGCACACACACACACACACACACACACACACAGAGAAGGCCTCACAGAGAGGGAGAGAGTGAGGTGGGGCTAAAGCGTCATTATCACACGGACTGCAGATGAGTAGATGCGGTGTGATGCTGCGAGCGAACCCCGGTCCATGTGTGACTGTGCAATTACAGCACATTTACAGCACCAGCTGCTGCACAAATCGAGACGCTCGAGCAACACGGTGTGACAGGCGCCGCCGGGAGACGGGAGCAGTCGCTGACTTTGGAAGTGACTACTCACACTTGAAGATGTGCTGAGAGAATATTAGCTTTCTGGCGCAGCTGAGGTTACAGGAATATGATACTAAAAAATAAATGTAAATTTATAGTTCTGGCTTTAAAAAGAAAAGGTAACAGGTAGTGCCGATGTGTTAGGAAGTAAAGGAAACAGATTCAGAAAAGATGCGGTGTGAATTAGATAGGCAGTTATTTTCTACTTATCCAGAATTTTTATTTTTATTTTTTTTTAGAGGAAAAAAGGTTTTCTTCTTTTCCTAGAATATTCCGGTATTCTAGGAGAGTACCGCTCTGCTTACGTCTCTTTTTCTAAAATAAATGAAACAGGATTTTAATTTCTCAAACTGGGGGGGGGAATCTTGTAATCCCTTAAAAAAAAACTTCAGTA